GCGTTAAGTAGTCTACATACAAGAGGTTAAACATGTGGGTGAGAATAAAATGAATATAGAAATGAATATAAATTTAACACATGCATGAAAAGAAGACAGGAGCAAATACTCAATGATAAAGACTAGACCCAGGTTCAAAGACTACGGGGATTGCAGCACTAGACAATGAGAAAAGGTGCCACTCAGACACTTACAAGACATGGTGAAATTAATAGTTTTCATCTAAACATTATTAAATCAGAAAGATGAGATAGATAAATTTTTTAGGGATGAGGAGAAGGAGACAAAATTCCAACATGAAGTATGGCCATGCCCCAGGATCGATACATTTTGGAAACACTATGTCAGTGATGAAGCACTGGGTTGGGAGGATTGGATTCCAGCCAATGTTGAATTGGGTCAAGAAGTCTTGTACCCACCTGTCAGAAGATCTTTGCGCTTCAAAAAGGCTCCTATTGATGTTGAATAATATTTGTCATTACTGTTCTCTGTACCTTCCTCTGATTTCCTGCTATTGTCCCTCTTCTCAATTTAAAATCCAAACTACGCTCGTTTATGCCCACACTCTTTTGTAAATCCAAATTTGGCCTCACTAGAATATTATAGCATTTTTTACCTTTTCCCATTGATAAATTCAAGTTCGGAAGGGTGAATAACCACCAGGAACTTCCCACTGTGCTTGCATCAATAAAATGAGTGGGAGCAAGAATTAAAACGCAAAGGAATCATTTTTATGAAAAATTAAGTTTACCATTAAATTCTACACCTTTTAAAGTGTAGGAAACAAATTTACAATGTCAAAAAATAATGAAAAACAAGCCGCTAAGAATTAATTGAAAAAATGAGTGGGAACGGAAATTACAATGCATAAAATTCATTTTTATGAAAAATAAATTTTACCATTGAATTCTACACATTTCAAAGTGTAGGAAACAGCTTTACAATGTCAAAAAATAATGAAAAACAAGCCGCTAACAATTAATTGAAAAAATGAGTGAGCAGAAAAAAAAAATCAAAGTCATTTTTATGGAAAATGGACTTTACCATTAAATTCTACACCTTTCATAGTGTAGGAATAAATTTTAAAATTTCGAAAAAACTCGAAAAATAAGCCGTAAATAATTAATTAATAAAACCACGTTTAAACGCGGAAACCGCGTGCGCTGCGGCGCATCAAAACCGCGTCAAAACGCGGAAAAACCGCGTTTTTTTATTATTATTTTTTTTTTTTCTACTCATTTCTCAATTAATTGTTTGCAAACATGTTTGTACCTTATTTTTTATGCTTTTTTGAAATTTTAAATTTATTTCCTAGGGTTTAATATGCGTAGAATTTAATGGTGCAATCCAATTTTTTTAAAACTCAACGGTTCACTTTTAATACTCAAATTACACCCATTTTTTCACTTAATTTTTTACAGCTTAATTTTCATCATTTTTTGACATTTTAAATTTATTTCCTACACTTTAAGACATGTAGAAAATTATGGTAACAACCATTTTTCCCCAAGTTGAAAACTATACCTTGAATGCTGCATTTGACATGTTTTTTTAATTAATTCATCACTTTTTCACTTAATTGTTTGCATACATCTGTGTACCTTATTTTTTATGCTTTTTTGAAATTTTAAATTTGTTTCCTACATTAGAAAGTGTTTAGAATTTAATGGCAACATTCAATTTCCATAAAACTAAATGGTTCATACTGAATACTGTAATGAGTCGTATTTTTCAATTGGTTTTTAACAGCTTATTTTTCATTATTTTTTGACATGTTAAATTCTTTTCCTACACTTTCAGACATGTATAAAATTATGGTATTTATGGATTTTCATGAAAATGAAAACTATGTCTTGAATAATGCCTTTGACGTGTTTCCCAAATTCATTCTTACACGCTCAATTATCCTTATTTGTTGGAATTTCAAGCTCATTTATTGATGGCTGTATCCATTTTGCATTCAAATAAAATTTTTATATGGTACAAATTATGCAAGAAACGGGGTACACTCATCCATTAAGATTGAAGCTTGTATTTTTAGTGAAATTGGACTTCACCATTCAATTCTACACATTTGTAAATGTAGGAAATAAATTTAAAATTTCAAAAAATGCTTAAAATCAGGCCAGTAAAAATCAATCAAAAAAACATTAAAAAAAACCTGTCCAACGCAGTATTCAGTAACAAGCGCTGATTTTTATGTAAAATGGTTGTTACCATCATTTTAATAATGTATTAAAGTGTGGGAAATAAACTTAAAATGTCAAACAATGTTGAGAAATAACATGTAAAGAATTAATTGAAAAAGTGTCTAGTTTCAGTATTAAAAATGAACCGTTGAGTTTTAAGAAAATTGGATGTTACCATTATGTAGGAAAAAACTTTAAAACTTCAAAAAAGCATAAAAAATAAGGTACACACATGTATGCAAACAATCAGGTGAAAAAGTGATGAATTAATTAAAAAAACGTGTCAAATGCAGCATTCAAGGTATAGTTTTCAACTTGGGGAAAAATGGTTGTTACCATAGTTTTCTACAGGTCTTAAAGTGTAGGAAATAAATTTAAAATGTCAAAAAATGATGAAAATTAAGCTGTAAAAAATTAAGTGAAAAAATGGGTGTAATTTGAGTATTAAAAGTGAACCGTTGAGTTTTAAAAAAATTGGATTGCGCCATTAAATTCTACGCATATTAAAACCTAGGAAATACATTTAAAATTTCAAAAAAGCATAAAAAATAAGGTACATACTAGAGATGGTCGGTCCGCATCCGGATATCCGATGGCAATTTCAGCAAAATTGCACATCCGCATCCGCACCCGCACCCGCTAGCGGGTATCCGTCGGCCGCAGCGGGTATCCGAGCGGGTATCCTCGGATACCCGCCCTCTAAAGGGCCGGCGACGGACCGGCTGGAAGGGTGTCCTTGCAGTCAACGAGGTACTTGTACCTCGTTGGCTGGAAGGGCTTCCTTCCAGCCGGATATCTCCCCTTCCGGCCGCGGGTATCCTTTGGGATACCCGGATACCCGCCAGCAATTTGCGGAAAAGGGGCCATCCGCACCCGCTGGCGGGTATCCGTTGGCACAGGCGGGTATCCGCCAGCGGATAACGGGTATCCGCGACGGATACCCTTCGACCATCTCTAGTACATACATGTATGCAAACAATTAATTGAGAAATGAGTGAAAAAAAATAATTAATAATCAAAATTCATTTTTATGAAAAATGGTTTTTACCATTAAATTCTACGCCTTTTATAGTGTGGGAGAAAACTTTAAAAATTCAAAAAAACTCAAAAAATAACCCATAAAAAATTAATTACAAAACCGTGTTTAAACGCGGAAACCGCGTGCGCTGTGCCGCAGCAAAACCGTGTTTTTTTATTAATGCCCTAAAAAAAACGCGGGTTTTCTGCGTTTAGATGCAGTTGAGACAGGGTTCTTCCGTGTTTAGACGCGTTTTTTCCGCGTTTAGACGTGGTTTTGCTGCGGCACAGCACACGTGGTCTCCACGTTTAGACACGGTTTTTTAATTAATTTTTTTCGGGCCTTGATAAAAAAAACGCGGTTTTTCTGCGTTTAGACACGGTTTTGCTGCGGCACAGCGCACGCGGTTTCCGCATTTGGACATGTTTTTTTGATTAATTTTGGACCTTAATAAGAAAAACACGGTTTTTCTGTGTTTAGACGCGGTTTCTGCTGCGCCCAGCTGACGCGGTTTCTGCGTTAGGACATGGTTTTTTAATTAATTTATTTTTGCCATTAATTTTAATTTTTTTCAAGTTTTTAAAATTTTTCCCTGGGTTATAAAATGCGTAGAATTTAATGGTGAAGTCCATTTTCCAATAAAATGACTTTTGATTATTATTCTTTTTTTCCACTTATTGTTCAATTAATTGTTTGCATGCATGTATGTACCTTATTTTTTATGTTTTTTTGTAACTTTAAAGTTGTTTCCTACAGTATTAAGTGTGCAGAAATTTATGGTGAATTTCAATTTTCATAAAAATGAATGGTTCATTTTTAATAATGCAATTACACCCATTTTTTTACTTAGATTTTTACAGCTTAATTTTCATTCTTTTTTGACATTTTCATTTTTTTTCCTACAATTTCACACATGTATAAAGTTATTTTAGAAATAAGTTTGACTCAAAATGATAACTACATCTTGTATACTGCATTTGACACCATTTCTTTTATTTAATTCTTCAATTTTTCACTCAATCGTTTGCATTAATTTCTCTACTTTATTTTTTATGCTTTTTTGAAATTTTAAAGCTGTTTCCTACATTTAAACTTGTTTAGAATTTAATGGTGACATCCAATTTCTATAAAACTCAATGGTTCATTCTGAATACTGTAATTAGTCATATTTTTCAATTGATTTTTAGGAGCTTAGTTTTCATTATTTTTTGACATTTTAAATTTGTTTCCTACACTTTCAGACATGTTTAAAATGATGGTAGCAATCAATTTGAATCAAAATAAAAACTGTATCTTGAATGATGCCTTTGATGTGTTTCCTTAATTAATTCTTACATGCTTAATTATCCTTATTTTTTGGAATTTCAAGCTCATTTCCTAAACTTTTACAGGTTTTAAAATTGATGGCTGTATCCATTTTGCATTCAAATACAATTTGTATACAGTACAAATTATTCAAGAAAAGGGGTACACTCATATATTAAGATTGAAGCTTGTATTTTTATGGAAATTGAACTTCACCATTTAATTCTAAACATCTTTAAATGTAGGAAATAAATTTAAAACTTCAAAAAATGATCAAAATCAAGCCGGTAAAAACCAATCAAAAAACATTAAAAAAACATGTCCAACACAGTATTCACTAACAGTCTTTGGTTTTTATGCAAAATGATTGTTACCATCATTTTAATCATGTCTTAAAGTGTGGGAAATAAATTTAAAATGTCAAAAAAGAATGAAAATTAACCTGTAGAGATGTAAGTGAACAAATGTGTCTAATTTCAGTATTAAAAATGAGCTGGTAAGTTTCAAGGTAATTGAAGTGCGCCATTAAATTCTATGCAAATTAAAACCTAGGAAATAAATTTAAAATTTCAAAAAAACATAAAAAATAAGGTACATGCATGCATGAAAACAATTAATTGAAAAATAAGTGGAAAAAAAATTAATAATCAAAAGTCATTTTATTGGAAAATGGAATTTACCATTAAATTCTCGGAATTTTTTAACCTAGGAACAATTTTAAAAACTTGAAAAAATTAAAATTAATGGCAAAAATAAATTAATTAAAAAACCGTGTCCAAACGCGGAAACTGTGTCTGCTGCGCGCAGCAGAAACCGCGTCTAAATGCGGAAAACTCCTGTTGTTAATTAAGGCCCAAAAATAAGTGGTAAGAAATCAATTCAAAAAATGTGTCCAAACATGGAATCTGCGTGTGCTGCGTGCAGCAAAAACCATGTTTTTTATTAAGGCCCTTATTTTATTTGTTATTTTGTTTTTTCTTTTTCTTTCCTCCTATATGGGCGGATATCCGCCAGGATCTCAGGGGGAAGGGGACATCTGCATCTGCTGGCGGGTATCCATTGGCACTGGCGAATATCCGCCAGCAGATAATGGATATCATAATTTGACCATCTCTAGTGTGCTTTTCTGCACTTATGTTCAAAAAAACTGAAACCAAACTCCCTCACATCAAAAGCGGCAAACTACAAGGGTTCACCAAAGGGCTTTGGGATGTCCACTGACATGTCATCACCATTGAAGTGGGCCAGCTTGCATTCAAACCACCAACACCCAACAGGTCCTATACATTGACAGCCGCAAAATAGATGGCTCCACCCCAGCCACCCACCAAATGGTAAATGAAAGCTGTCTTCCTAGGACTTACCATCATCCAATCAAGAAACAGAAACACTCCATTAAAGGATGTCAATGCCAAAATTTTGGTCAGGAAGACCTAGAGATTGTTCCGTGGTACTCCTTGCTAGGTACCTGGCACCGCCAGGCGGGTACTGCCCACACCCGCCAGGCGGTGCCAGGTTTTTGGCAGAAAAATAAACAGATACCACCCCCACATGTCCTTGTTGACTAGAAGGGTTTCCTTCCATTGTGGTAAGACATAAAAAAGACATATTAAAATATTAAAAGAGTAAATATAAACTCAAGAAAATAGGTAATAATATCAAATATTCATGATAAAGCCTTTTATTCTCAAATCATAGTCATTTTTCTTGATATTTTATTTTATATATATTTACACTACACAGACTAAATGTATAAAACATACAAGTAAGATTAAAATATATATATTTAATTACAAAACAGATCTTACTAAATTATCTCAAAACAAACAACATAACAAGATTGGTCAAGAAGGAATTAGAAATAACATAATGTTATAAAGCTGAAAACCATCCAGAAGGAATACTGAATAGAATAATATAATTTTAGATCATAAATTCATTCAGCAGATCATATTAATTAATTAAGCAGATCATTAATAAATAATTACACAGCCACTTATTAAGAACACAGCCATTTGTTAATTACAAATCCACTCAACATTAATTTCACAACATAAGGATCATTAACCAGACAGATGAAATCATTGACCAACATAGGAGTAGAATATTGATTTCACAACAGCACATCATTAATTCCACAGCTGAACATCATTAAATTCAAATCTTTAGATCATTAAATTCATAGCATGAAATCATTATGACATCATTAAATTAGCAGTCTATGGTCATTACCCAGTCAGACCAATCATTCTGATCAGGGTAGCTGTTGACCATCCCACCAAAGATTTTGTCTATAAATAGAGGCCCTCTTGGCCCATTTTTTCCTTCCTTCCTCCCCATTTCTGCATAGGAAAAGTAATTAGATACATTACTTAGCATTCATCAACCACTCACATGTCTGCATCAGAAAAATAAGTAGAGATCCTATTTAGCATTCATCAACCACCTTACATGATAGCTAGATAAAAGTAATTAGATATTACTTGGCTTTCATCAATAGTAATAAGAGATATTACTTTACCCTCTCACTTCTCACCCTTACATTGAAACTGTAATAAATAATAAAGATAATATTATTTAACACTCCTCAAACCCTCAACAGAAGATATTTGAGAAATAAAGACTCACTTTATTAAGAAACCAGATTAAACCAGAGATCCAGATATATTCTTCACAGAACAGAGAGCCCAGAAAGAAGAAATTAAACCAGAATAACTCAGAAACCTCACATAAATCTCATAAAACCAGAAGCTCTTGACCATCCCTCCACCCATGTAAGATAACTCAACATTCTCTACAGGTAGTATTCTCACTAAGATAAATTTTAGAAATCTACCACACTAAATTATTTTTCTTAGTTTAACTCTCTCACAAGCTAGACAAGGAGGGCAGTCTCACCCACAACCATTTAATAATATTGCTCTTCCATAGTTTTATTCATTGTTTATCCCCTCCTAGCTCTTCACTCATTAGCTGAGCAGTTCCACACCGTTCAACAAGGAGGTGCCTTGTTGATTGGAAGGAAACCCTTCTGATCAGTGAGGTAATGTACCTTGTTGACCAGAAGGGTTTCCTTCTGTTTGACATGGATGGACCTTGTTGATCTGAAGGAAACCCTTCCAATCAACAAGGCACATTATCTTGTTGACCCAAAGGTGATCTTCTGTCCTGTCCTGTCTTTGTCCCTTAATCTCCACTCCACACCCTCATTTTTCTGCCTTGTTGATCAGAAGGGTTTCCTTCCAATCAACAAGGTCCATCCTTGCCAACCAGAAGGAAACCCTTGTTCTGCAGGTTTGTGTAAGTTTGTTGATGATTTAATATGCAGTTGTCAGGTGATGGTCAGCTACTCATGCAAGTGGCTGCACCTGCATGTATAGTTTTGTACTGGTCATGCAGGACTTATGTGCATTGCTGCAACCTGCTGCACTTGCATGTATACTTCTGTATTGGTCATGCAGGACTCATGCAGCTACACATAGTATGTTGAGTGAAGTTGCTTCATGTACAGCCAAACCAAGAAAGCTTGTGGTCTTGGTTGGCAAAAAAAAGAAAAACATTGTCCAAAGCTGGAATGGTTGGAAGACTACACCACCCTGTATGCCCACTTGCATACAGGGCTTACTTTTGATTTTTTTTTCTATCTTTTTTATCCCTTGACTTCAGCTCATGAGGGTAGTACCATTGGAATCCTGATGGCAATCTTGGTCAGGCCAGGTCTCAATGTGTTTCTCCCCCTGCCTCAGCCCCCCAGCACAGTTTCAGCCACAGAGTACATGTCACAGTACCTTTCATGTACCAAGTAACTGCAACACCTGTACTTATGCACATAGGTAATTATCCATAATTTTGATTACCTTTACCTCTTGTTATCTTATCATTATTATTAACTTATCTTATATTATAATTATCTTATCTGTTAATTACTTATCTATTAAATACATATCTCTTTTATAAATAAGTAATTATCACTTACCTTTCACTCCTTTGTCCGTGAAATACCTGTACCACAAGTTATCCCTGTTCTACAGTATTTTCACGGTCAAATATTACAAATAAATATGTACATGTATTAAATAGTAAGTATTAAGTGTAAATAGAATTAATACATTCAAATTTGTTGTGTTGTGTGTGTGTGTTGTGTTGTGTAGTGTTGGGTAGTGTTGGGTAGTGTGGTCTTGTTTTTTGTTTTTTGGTTGAGTTGTGTTGTAGTTAGGGATGTGATGACATGTCTGTGACATGTCACTCCCCAGAGTCAAAGTTCAGTTTGAACTGAGATGATGGGGAAGCATGGCACTCTGATCTGATCAAAGATAGACCCGTCAAATTTTATTGATCTTTTGATTCTTGATATTCCTGATCCTCCTACATATCATCAAGTTCACTCAAACTCAACAACCGCCACAGAAATTGATTTCTGTTGTCCCCTCTCAGAAAACCAACCAACCCCAACGCGTTTTGTTCAGATCACAGCTCAATCATCCAGACCCCACTTGAAGGCACCCCTCAAAGCACCATCCCTTCAACCAACTGCCTACCATCTGTGTAAAAATCACAGACATGTCACAGGTCTATTACCTGAAGACATTCCCAATCCTCCTTTCTCTCCCGAATCTCTTCTTGAATCCCAACAATTCTATCCGGATCAAGATCATCCTAATCCTTCAAGCTCACTCTTCAGCTCCTCAACACACTCCATCCTTCTCAATTTCCCTTATATCCATTCCTCTATTTGTTTCTTCATTCAATCCATTCACCTTCAATTCTTGTCTTCTCTTATTCTCTGTGTGGTGATATTTGTCTTATTCTCTCTCACATATCAGCTTCTCCTCAACTGACTCTTGTCTATCATTTCTGTCCAACTTTTACTCTTCCATTCTCTCCTCATCGCCTGTGCTTCTTTGTAAATGATCTGCTCAATCTATGTTGGTTTTTCTCTTTCATTCTCTTTCTCTCTTTTGCTGCGCTTTTTCTCATTACTCTTTGTTTCTAGTGTGTCGGCTCTTTTTCGTAATCAATCACAGATCACAATTCTTTCAGTCTGGAACAATAGGAGTTCCACACCGGCTGGGTCCCATCACTGATGCCATCAAGTATTCTGGTATCTGTACACTTGATGTATTCTTCCAAAGCTTCAAACTCCAGATGATGTTTTTTATCTTTTATTAGAAATTCCGCTAACCAAGACCGCAAGCTTTCTCAGTTTGGCTGTAAGTAGAGCTATGAGTGATCTGTGAGTTGCTATCAGGGGTAGTTTGACCTATATATTGCAATTGTTTAGATATAAAGGTTGATAAATGGAGATAAAATAGATTTAACTAGAGAATAAAGAGAAAATGAATAAAAAATTTCATTGGGCTATAAGGTATACCATAAAGCATCCTATAGCCAACACCGCAACCGCTGCGCTGCGCTGCAAAAAGCGGCAAAATAGCGCAGCGCAGCGGCACCCCGCTTTTCTTGGTGTCAAAAAGCGAAAGCGGCAGCGCTTAATCGCTATTTTCAGCGCAAGCGCAGCAAACCAGCCGCTACACGCATTATGAACAGTGGTGAGGCGGAGCGGTTTCTTTTTCGCTTTTGCTACAGAACAGCGCAGCGGAAGCGGTATAGCGGTTTTTGCCGCTAGTTGCTGAGAATAGCGGAGAGCGCAGGGGATAGCGGCGCTTTTCTGGGCCAGGATGGTTGGCACTATTCCGAAAAGTATATAAATTAGCTGAACCTGTTTATCAAAGTATAAATTGGCACATTATCATAGTTCTGATTAATTATCAGACTTTGATTTGAGTTTCAAACCCTCTAACAGTAACCTCTCAAGATGACCTTGAATGAAAATCACCCCCGCTATTCAGCAAAGTAAGTATCGCTTTTTCAGCGATCGTTTCGCTACTTCAGCGCTGAGCGAAGCGAATCATCACTACTGGCCGCTGTAATCAGCGCGCTGAAATCTATGAAAATTTTCACTAAGGTTGACTAGCAAAAAGCGCAGCGGCAACCCCGCTACAAAAAGCTCAGCGGAGCGAGACAAAATCCGCTGCGCTTTCGCTACGCTTACCGCTTTGGACAGCGCAGCGGTTGCGGTGTTGCTATAGCGGTACCCGGGTACCGCCCCTTTTTTAGCCAACAAACTGGCACCTGGCACCGCCTGGCGGGTGCGGGCAGTACCCTCCAAGCGGTACTAGGTACCTAGCAAAGGGTATCATGGAACAATCTCTAAACTGAGATGATGGGGAGGCATGGCATTCTGATATGATCCAAGATAGAACCATGAAATTTTATTTATCTTAAATCTTGATTCTTCTGACCCTCATACTCATCTTCACAGATCCTCAAACCCACTCAAATTCAATGTCAGCCTACGTGATGCCAAGATGGAATATCTTCTAGCTACAAGTGGTGCAAAAGCAAGAAAAAAGCTTATGGAATTTTGGCTTTAATTTCAAAGGAATAAATTCCAATGAAATAGAGGATTTATGGCGTAATTTATAAGAGAAAGTGGCCAATTTATATTAATAAAATTAATATAAATAAAACCAGAGGGGCCTGATAAATCAGGGGTGGTTTAATCCCTCTAAGGATTTAGGTACCTGCAACACTGGATCCTGTGAACAGGTGTGGTTTAAATCCCAGGAAGAATTTAAGGGGAAAATCTCAAGAAAAGGGTTATTACTTACTAGTAATAATCCTTCAAGTTCTTGAGGATCTTCAGGATGGAAACAGGGCAGTTGGAAGCGCTCAAAAAAAGGGTGATTTTGGGTGCTGGGTGATAACTGTGGAGTTTCTTGAGGTATCTTGAGGCTTAATAACAGTAATAATAGCCACGGTGGGCCAGTTACACTAACCGTAGTGTTAGCTTTTTAAGCTACGCTACAAAAAAGTTACCGTTAGCGGCAATTTTTGGCCCACTAACACTACAGGATTTTTGAAAAAAAAAAAAAAAACTTTAGCGTAGTGTTAGCTACCTTTAAAAAGGCACAACTAACACTACCCAAAATCCTGTTAGTGAAATTTTAGTGGTGTTAGTGGGTGAACCCACTACACTACATGTTAGTGTAACTTTTTGCAAAGTTACACTAACGGTTAGTTTAGTGGTACCCTCAGTTACACTAACTGTTAGCGTAACTGGTGAAAAAGTTAAACTAACTGTTAGCATAACTGATTAAAGTTACATGACCACATGACTAGCATTAGTATACCCTGAAGACAGTGCCTGATTGGGGGGCCTACATCCAGATCCCCTCAATTGATCATCATTTTTTTTCAGTTGGTAATGGGGGCCACTCAATTTTAGCCCCCTGCCAATTTTTAACACTTACTTGTAAGACCACATTCCCCTGTCAGACTACCTTGAGATTATGGGTTCAATTCCCCCTCAGATCATACTTTACTGGGTTCCATTCCCACACTTGTTCAATTTCCACTTTCACATCATGTAGCAAAGGGGGGGGGTTGAGGTGTAACCATGATGTATCACCAGAGTGTGGTGGAGCTGTTGGCATGAACCATGCCAACTACCACCCAAATAACCTTACAACCACAAGGGTCTGTAGCCTAGTTGGTAAAGGAAGCACTCTGGTATGTGACTCAGCATTGCTGAGGTTGTGAGTTCAAATCTCACCAGGCACATCCTCCGTTTGTTTGTCTCTGCATCTTGTGCTGTTCATTTTCTGCGGGATTGTGTGTGATCATAGGACATTGAAAATCGTCACTATGGACCTCGGCCGTATCAGTTATATGGACAGTTCACACAACTGGTCCATTGAAAACAGAAAGCAGAGGAAGAGGGTTCAAGAGCATAAATTCTCACTTGACATGTCAATTTCTCTAATTGATGATTTACACTACACTACATGTGTAGTGTAACTTCTACTGTAGCGTAGCGTAACTAGACATGTAGTTTAGTGTAGCGTAGCTTAATTTGGTATAACTTACACTAAATGTTAGCTTCAAATCAGTTACACTATCTGACAGTCAAAATTTTGTTAGCGCAAAAAAAGTTACACTAACTGTTAGTTTAGCTGAGATTATTTGAAGCTAACACTACCAAAAAATTTGAGAGAAAAATTTACACTACACTAACAGTTAGCGTAGTGGGTTTTAGCGTCAGCTAACACTACAGAATTTCCAGGAAATAAAAAGGCCACTACACTAAAAGTTAGTGGTCAAATAGCGTAGTGTAGCGTAGTGTAGCGTAGCGGCCCACTGTTGATAATAGTAATAACTAGGCTAATTACAAGTGTAGGGGACTTGTAAATGGTAATTAAATTTCTATAAGGTATTTTAAATCTGGGGGATAATTATTTGGGCGGTCAGAAGGCCCTTTAAATACCTGTGGAAGGCCTCAGGGGTTGCTCAGGGGAGCTTAGTAGGAGTTGGGGGTGCTTTTGGTCCCATTTTGGCCCACATGGTGACACAACAAGGGCTAAAACCTTGGGGATAATATTCTAGAAGCTCCAAGGGGTAATGCACAAAATTATAACAGCCAAGAATGTTCCATGGGAACCTGTGGATGGGGGTTACTCTGTTACGTGGAGCAGTTTCCTTGGAAATGGGCCACAGAATATTCCAGAGGTGGTTTCTGAGGCTTGCTAGATGTGTTACCCATTGGAATATGGTTACTGTAGTATTTTCATGGATATTCTAGCTTTTTTATATTTTTATTACACCTGTGGGGGCTTTGTTTTCACGTGCAATGGGTATTCTGGGGCTTTTGTGGCCCATTTCTTGGATACTGGTGTGCAGCATAACTACGCGGCGCATGGGCTTGGAGACAGTACTCCACACTGCTCTATCTTCTAAACCATACAAAATACTCCAATTCTGTGACTGTATTTGGATTATATGCATTATGCACAATGCATAAGTGTCACAGTACCCGTGATCTGAGGGTACCTGTTAGTTATTCATATGTATATTACAGGGTGAAGGAGTTAGAATTAAGGGTACCTTTGGCTGAGGTACCCTAGGTTAAATTGTATGCATATTCAGAATCTGCAATAATAATTAAATTTTTCTTTATACTTTTTAAGTTATTTACTTGTTTTTATGTATTTTTTATCTTATTTACATAAGTAATATTGTTTCTTTTACTTATGTAATAATTTTAGTTTATACTTAGATTTTTTTATCTGTTTTATTTATTTTATTTGCTATGACAGGTTGTCTCTGCCATACTAGCAAGCTGACACTCAACAACTGCCACAGAACTCAATTTCTTTTGTCTCCTCTCAGAAACCCAAATTACGCCAACACTTTTTTTGTTCAGATCAAATCTCATCTTTTCCAGACCCCACTTAAAGGCAGCCTCTCAGCACCATCCCTTCAACCAACTGTCTAATGTCTGGAACAATAGGAGTTCTACAACTCTGTTGTGCATCTGTTTCATTAACTCCTCCTACAGAATTCTCTTACTTGAAATTTAAATTTCCTCTAAGTTTTTTCCATAGTCCTTCCATTGAGGTGTGTTTGTTCCTGCTGGGCCAGGAGCGCCCTTAGATTTGGAAATAATACATTATTGCACACACCCTGGCCAGGTGTGCTGCACTGTCAACCCAATTGACAAATTTGATTATTTGTGGTTCAGCTTGAACAAGTGTCAAAACTGTAAAACAACAGCTCAAGAAGGGTGACAATTGGATTGGGTATGTTTTTCTTGCAAATTTTTGCCATCTAGGCTTGAAAAATTGCTCTTGAGTTTGCTCAATTGAACCGTACTCAACAGATACCTGAGACTTCCTTCAGCACGGAAGCTTCAGAGGGGGGAATTGATTTTGAAGGGATTGGATCCTTGGAAGGTGTTGACTTCCCCCCTCCAATGAACAGCCACGCAGGAATAATACAAGCCGCGCATAAACCGGCAACAAGCAAGCTGCTGATTCGCCATCCATTCTCGATTCCCAGGTTTTCTAAAAGTCTGATGCACAGAGAAAAACTCTCAGTTTGTTGAAATTTCAAATTCAAATTGTAGAAATAGTTTTGTGCGCAGTTAGCGCAGTTCACTTACCCTCCAACGCATAGTGATCCAACCAAGGCACCGGTTGAGTAAACCATGTTGAAAATACCATATACGTGGGCGAAGCCTATGCAAATCAAAACCAGTCAGCCAATTTTACTCAAGATTGAGAATATCGATAACTAAAAAGATTGACCTAATCCTGGTGTGGTCTTCACAACTTCTGCTAGGTCTATGGAATTCCGAAATTGAACAAACCAGCTACTAAGGAAGTGTAAGGTAGAATATCTGAGGGAAGCAAAATTTAATCTTACCTTGCATGATTGGGGCAGCAATTCCCATGATGAAGATACCTGGAGGTACAATGAAAACATAGGGATTAAAATTAATGATAGGTCAACTATATATTTCCATTCAGAACCAGAAAAGATAACTAACCAGTGAATGTGACAAAAGTGATCAACGCAGCAAGACTGGTGTCTAAGCTATAGAGGCCAAGAAATGGGGTACCAAGGACAAGAGAGATGACGACAGGCCACTTTGCACCGTATTTATCGGCAAAGTGTCCGGCTAGCGGACTGGAAAAAAATGATGGCACAACGGCAGCAATGAATATGAGCGCAGCCCCTCTTGAGCTCAATCCATATCGGTCCTTGACGAGCATGGTCATTCCGGTATCCAACAGACCACCAAATGTGAATCCTGAGAAGGTTAACAGAGGGAGTAAAAATCATATTGATTTCCTTGAACTGGGGTTGAATTAAGATAAATTCGTACCTAATACAATTGTAATGGCGCAAAGCGTCCAGAATCTCGAATTCGTTAACAAGGAGAATAGCGCACGAGCTGCTGATGGTGGCTTTGCTGCATTTTCAGATTCAGTACCGGACTTGACATCCTTTTCCTTGAGTTCAACATAGATTTTTGCAGCGGCTTGCCGATTGCGAATACACTTTTTGTCTTGGACCAAAGATCGGAAGATGAAGTCGCTTGCCGCTTGATTAGAGAATGAGCAAAATTGTTAATGGATTGATTCTGATAGTAATGTGGGGCTCCAGGCGCTGCTTGTAAGATAGACATACTCATGGAAAGAGCAAATATGAAGATTGCGTTATAGCCCAGCGAGTCATACAGGAGACCGCCAGCCAGCGGTCCACCTACGGTTCCTAAGGACCAGCCAATCCTGAAAAAGAAAATAATGAAATCAGACGGCCACCCTCCACAAAAACCCAGTTATTTGACAAGCTCTTACATTACGTATCCCATAATAACACCAACGTGCTCTTCTGGTACCACATCACAAATCAAAGCCAGCCCGAGTGTCCAAATGGCAGTACCGCTTTACAAAATGTCATTTTTTTTGACATCAGTAAAGAACAATAATCAATTTCGCAGGTCAAAAGAGGTTAGAAAGTAATTTGTACCTGAAACCCTCGATGATCCTTGCAATCATGAGCACTGCAAATGAAGAGGAAAGCCAGAACATGATCAAGCTGGAAGCTGTGGAGGACAGTTGCATTATTGAACTTAGTGACTTGAGTTCGGATACAAAAGAGGGGGAAAGCATGGGGCTAGTTGGGTTTGCCGACTTACCTTGAAAAACTAGACATGTCAACAGGGGTACTTTTCTGGAACTGACAATTTCACCAAAAATACCAACTGGGATCTACAAAAAAGCGCGCGTTTAGTTATCTATGCAGCCTTCCCTTCGTCACATAAAAGTGAGGTGGAATGTATCTTACGGATGAGATGATAAGTCCAAGTGCATATGCGGCAATAACTGATGGACAAAGTGTTTGTAGGTATTAATTCATTAGCTTTCAGTCATCTTAATCTTTTGATGGAACACTTATTTAAGTGGAATTCAAGAACTTGAACTTGCGAAGGGCATGAGGAAATGAAGAAGTACATGTGTGTAAGAGCTCGGCTTACGGTAAGATGAAGTGGCGGGAACGTTTTCATAGCCAATGGATTCTAATCGAAAGGGAAGGACAGGTACCATGATCCCATAAGTGGCCATGTCGACCATCAAGCCAAACGAGACACTGAAAGAAATGTAGGGGATTCCGCTGGTGACATGCTGAGGATAATTATAGAGTCGTGAAACAAAGGAGGTTGACATTGTCAACCATACAGAAGAAGAAATCGTAATCGTTAAAAAAAATTATTAATCAAGGAAGGCTCGAAAAGTTGCGAAGAGGATGCATCTTGAACAGACTAGACAAAAGTCCAACCGATTTGTATTGATGGAGTGAGCACTTGTAAAAGACTTCAGCGCAGTCCTGGGAACCAAACCGCCAGTTCGTTGATTACTTTGTCGGACAAGGCTGTGAGAATTGGAAACTTAAGAGTGTGATTTCAAAGACATGTCAGGAACTCGCTAAAACAGCTAGTGAAGACGTATGATGAAATAAGAAACAAAAAGAGAGTCTTCTAGTACCTTAAGAGCAAGGGTACAATATGAGACAGGAGGTGTGTATGTGACAGGTGGAGAACAGCGAAGATGCAGGAGAGAAAGAATACGATGACAAGAAGAAAGAGGAGGTGCACGAGGTGCTTTAGACAGAAAAGAGCTTCAGTGAGCTTTGAGACAGAAGAAGGAAAAGAGAAGTCAGAAATGCGGAACGAGGTCGTCGCAGGTCTGATGTGGGATGATCTGGATATCGAGGGGATTGGAGGAGAATTTTAGTATGAACAGGGATAGAGCTTCGATATTGGTTCGCAGATGCTGGACACACAGGTTAAGGGAGGTCAGCCTTTTATAAAGATGCAGACAGGTAGGACATCTGTTCGTGCTTACAGGGTAAGGGTCCGAGCATCGCATGGATCATGCGGTAGTCAGTCCGTGGCCATGCTGGTCCAGTTGAGTCTCCTGAGCATCGATGCCTATGGTATCGGTAGTGAGGGTAAAATGCTGGTTAGTCACAGAATATCACAGAAGGGGTATTAGACCCTCGACTGGTTGGAACCTGCTTGTTGACTTACAAGTAAAAACTTGGTTCAAGAAGGCGTTCGAGGCTGAAGCCTCAGAACAGGGGTCAGGGATCGAAACTTGACAGTCTGGCGTGCTTCGTGCTTTGGAGTGCGAAGCAGAGAGGCTGAGGACGTTCTCCGTAAGGGCTTGGAGAGCTCGCCTGATTGTGACTCGTCCCACAGGCTTGGTGAGGTAGTCCGAGGTGTTTTGGGATGAGGAGATGAACTGTAAGCGAATGACTTTGTCGCGAACGAGATCTCTGATGAAGTGCAGCCTCAAGTCCATGTGTTTAGTCCGAAAACCGTTTTGACTGATTTGGCTTAGGGCAAGATCAATGGCTCCTTGATTGTCGACGAGTACAACAGTGGTGTTCGAGTCGGTGGCAAGTAGTACCTCTTTCATGAGGTTGCTGAGCCAGGTGACCTCCTTGCCGACATCAGCCAGTGCCTTGTATTCCGCCTCTGTTGAGGAGAGCGAGACCGTGCACTGCTTTGTGGATTTCCAGGAGATAAGGTGTCCATTCCAGGTGATCATGTAGCCAGTATGTGATCGTCTGGTGTCGGGGCAGTTGGCCCAGTCGGCATCCACAGAAGCCGAGAGAGGTGAGAGGTTGTTGCGACTGAAGAGAAGGCCCTGGTCGAGTGTCCCCTTTAGATAGCGCATGACCTGCATGGCAGCTTTATAGTGAGACAGGCCAGGATTTTCAAGAAACTGAGATAACTTGCTGACGGCAAAAGATATGTCTGGTCTAGTGAGAATACTGAGGTAGTTCAACGAGCCGATGATTGCCCGGTAATTGATGTTAAGAGGCTGGAGTTGTTGAATATCCGTGGCTGATGCCTTAGACAGGTGTGTTCGCGGATCTAGCGGACACGAGGCGTTGGGTAGATTAAGAACATCAAATTCGATTATTTTCCGTTCAATGTACTGAGTCTGGTTGAGGATGAGGCCTCTGGGGTGAACGTCGAGTTTCATACCCAGAAGAAAGGAAGCGGTGCCCATGTATTTTATGGCAAACTCCTTTGAAATTTGGTCTCGGAAGGTTTCCGGATCAGAGCCGATGATTATGAGATCGTCGACGTGCGCAAAGATCCAGAGAGGGGATGGGGAGATGCGCCAGAAGACACATGGGTCTGCAATCGAAGTAGAGAATCCGATGGTTGAGAGGAAACCACTGAGCCGCTTGTACCAGGCGAGGGAGGCTTGCTTCAAACCGTATATAGCCTTGTTGAGTTTGAGGACAAGATTCTCACCAGGTTTGTAACCCGGTGGGGGAAGCATGTAAACTGTTTCCTCCAGATCACAAGTGAGGAAGGCGGATTTGACATCCAGTTGATGAATTTTAAGGTGATGGGTAACTGCATGAGAGATGAGAGTGCGAAGGGAGGAAGGTTTCCCAGTTGGAGCGTACTTCAAGTCGAAGTTGAGTCCATATGTCTGACGAAAGCCTTGAGCGCAGATGCGTGCTTTGAACTCAGTGACCTGATTGTCCACACCAAGCTTCTTCTTGTATGCCCAAGTGGAGGGAATACACGAGTGAGTAGGGAGCCTTGTGATTTCATCCCATACCCCATGAGATATCATGTTCTGGATTTCCTTCTCTTCAGCAGCGATCCACTGAGCATTGTCGACGCTGCGAATGGCCTGAAAGTGATTCTTCGGCTCAACAGTGGTGGCGGAGTAGGAGGAGACCGGTCTTCTTGGATGAGAGACAATGTTGGTGGGATCGATGTCGCTGGATACACGAGTGGGATGAGGACCTAGGCGAAGAATGAGACGACGAGCGGGTGGCAGATTGTCATTCATGGCCATTTCAGTGTCCGAGTCTGGTTCCCAAAGGTCATCAACATCATTCATAATTTCATCGATGTCTTCTTGTCCGGGGGTTCCTTCCTCATCATCGCTGCTGATCAAAGGCCGACGACCGCTGACTTCAATCGAGTCATTGTCTTCATGGTCGAAGGGAAAGAGGGAGTTGCCTGAGAAGTCAGGGAGAGAGTCAGAAGGATGGAAGTCTACACTGGGATTGATGGCAGAAAGACCGGGGAAGGCGGATTCGTCAAAATAGGCATGCTTGGTCTCAATGATTTTCTTGTCAAGGGTGCGGACAATGCGATAAGCCGAGTAGCTGTTGCTGTAACCAACAAGAATCCCATCCCAGGAGATGGGGTCAAATTTGGTGGTGCGGAGCTGATTGGGTTTGACGGCCCATGCCTTGCATCCGAAGGGTCGAAAGAAAGCCATGTTGGGTGCTTTCCCAAACAACCGTTCCAAGGGAGAAGTGTTGCTCTTGCTGAGAGACGGGAGGCAGTTGGTTGTTGCCATGGCCGTGAGAACCGCCTCGCCCCACCATTCTTTGGCGAGATTGGATTGTATCATCATGCAACGAGCCATGTTGATGATAGTTTTGTTGGCTCGCTCCGCGACTCCGTTGTGTTGCGGGGTATAAGGGGGAGAGACGGTGTGCATGATACCGGCGTCTTTGAGGTGTTCAGAGAGGAGTCTGTTACAGAATTCCCCACCACCGTCGGTGATGAGTTTTTTCATGGGAAACCCTGATTGATGTTCAAAGAAGGTACGGAAATCGATGATGGCGGCAGTTGCGTCGGACTTGGCTTTGAGTAGTGTGGTGCTGATGTAGCCGGTGTGTTGGTCAACAAGGGTGAGAAAATACCTTGATCCAGCATTGGTGGAGGGGCTGATGGGACCGACAAGGTCACCATGAACAACCTCCAGTGGATTGCTGGTCTTGTCAAAGTGACTCTTGAATGGAACTCGAGTGACTTTCCCTTTCATGCAAGTATTGCAGTTGGGAGTTGCGACGAGTTTGTTGTCCGAGACAGCCGCTTTGAGCCTAGCAATGCCGGAATGACCTAGTCTAGAGTGCCACATGACATACGGTGAGGTGTCACGAGAGTGCGTGGTGGTGTGAAAAACTGTGGGAGTTGTCGGGATAGGACCGATCTGATCCCTGAGCTCCAGGATACCATTGACCAAGTGACAAACGAAGGTGAAAGAGTTGTCAATGAGGACGGTGCTGGTGTGA